AGGACAAGGTCACAGTTAGAGAAGTATAAGTTAACTGCATTGTGTCAATCACCTTTTAGCTATGTAAGGACAGGATGTACCTGGCTCAATATTTAGCCAAGCTAGCAAAATACTGAGTGTTGTTTTTGGTTTAAAAGTTGGAAAACACATGTTTGCTTTTGCCTGGGGCCAACACTGAGGGGGCAGTGGACATGTTTGTTTGTGAAATATAAATAAAAGCAGCTCAAGCTATTTGGGGCTGCTTGTTGTGTGAATCTCATCTGGTAGTCAGACTCTTCTTTCTGCTGACACCCCTTCCCCATCTCAGGACCTGAACCCAGCTGGGGCAGGACTCCAACAGTGTCTCTCAGCAGATTAATGGATAAAGAAAATGTGGTACATTTACACAATGGAATATTACTCAGCCATAGAAAATATTAAATTTACAGAAAATATTTACAGAAAATATTAAATAGATTAAACTAGAAAAAGTAATCTTAAATAAGGTAACGCAGACCCAGAAAGACAAGTATGTATTCACTTATATGTGGATATTACCTGTTAATTCAATGACTATCAAGCTATAATCCATAGTATCATAGAGGTTAGTTATAGAGTGAGGCACTAGAGGTGACAGATAATCTCCCTAGGAAAGGGAAGTAGAACAGAAAATTAAGGATAGATGGATGGATGGAGTGGAAGGAACTGGAATAGGGGATCAAGTGGGGGAAGGGGAGGTAACTGGATAATGATGGAGGGAATGCCAGGAGAGAGAACTAAAATTGAGGGCCATTGGAGAGGTGATTCAAAAACCTAAAGTAGAAGTTTCCTAAAGTACGTACATAGGTGAAGGCTATCTAAATGAAATCTCCAATTTATGGAGTGAGTGGGATACCTGGCTATTTCTTGCCACAAAATGAAGCTGCCAGTACTTGAATTAAGTTATGTCAAGCTGAGTTATTAGCCAAAGGGGTCCCATGGGAACCACCAAAGAACCCAGGTTATTGCCAAGACTGTAGGTCACTCTCCACAAACTGACAGCAAGGCCCCATTGTTGAAGACAATACCTACACAACTCACTGACCAGGGAGAAGTCAAGTTGGTGCCTACATAGAGTTTTCACCCCTACATTCTAGTATCTTTGGTACAGAAAAGCATTCTGTAAGCTAGCAAAGAAGAAATGTAAAAACCAACCCAGCCACAAGCCCTTTGATCTAAAATGGTATCCTGCCTAGAAGATATGCTAGTGCAGAGGTTATACGAAGCTTGTGGGAGTAACCAACCAATAACTGATTTGACTTAAGGCCCACTCCATGAGTTGGAACCCGTTCCTAAGGGTGACCAGGAGCCTGAGACTAGATAGCCCATGGATCTAGTGTAAAACCAAATAATACTGTGTTCTACTAACAGAACACAGCAATAAAATGACTCCTAATGACATTCTGCTATATTCATAAACCAATGCCTTTCTCAGCCATCATCAGAGAAGATTCCTCCTACTGCAGATGAGAGCAAACACAGACCCACCACCATACAATTCTTAGTGAGTGAGAGATCTCAAAACACTCAACCCTAAACGGGATGTCTCCATCAAATCCTTCCCAACCCCTCCAGAGTTCAAGGAAGCCTGCAGAAGTGGAGGAAGAAAGAGAGTAAGAGACAGAAGAGATGGTGGACTCTGAGGAAACAGGGCCTTTTAACAGGATCAATACACATGAACTCAGAGACTGGCACCATGCATGGGGCCTGCAAAGGTCTACACCAGAAGGAGCCCTAGAGCTGAAAGGAAAAGTGCACTGAAACCCTCATTCCTAACCCAGAAGCTATCTCCAATTTACAATCACTTCAAATGAACACTTAGTTTTTTTCCAAAGGTTTGTCACTGGAGAAGCAAACTATTCTTAGGGGCAGGCTACATACCCAGCAGTAGATGGCCTACAGAAAATGAACTCAACTGCATCTTTGGATGTTCTTGGTCTTAAAATGTCATGTTGGGGCTTTATTAAATTTTTCTTTTAATTTTACCTTACATTTTGTTTAATTTACATATTTTTCTCTTTTTACCCTAAAAGTCCTTTGTGTTTATATTATGACTTCCAGTTTAGTGTTTTTATGGGATTCCTGAGGGTGCAAACAAGTATATCTCTGTATCTATATCTTTTTCTTATGCCTTTTCTTAGACTCTTTTCTTTGTTTGTTGTGTCCTATTATGATGTGCTTGGTTTTATTTTATCCAATTCATCTTATTGTAAACTTGTTTCTTTTCTAATGAGAGCCAGAAGGAGTGAATCTAGATGGGAGGAGAGGTGGAGAGGAAATGGGAGGAATAAAGGGAGGGGAAATGGTAATCAGGATCTATTATATAAGAAAAAAAAGCCATTTCTGATCATAGAGTCTCCCTGCCAGGTAAGTACTTTTTCTTTTTATCCTTCTTCTTATCTTTGGGTAGAAGGTCACAAGAGTAGGGGAGCACACCTGGGAGGACTGCGATTTAAGTGTGATCAGAGTAAATTATATGAAATTCCCAAATAATCAATGAAAATATTATATCAGAAAAGAGCGTATTTTCGATAAAAGGAAAAATACGTCAAAAATATTTTAAAGTGAGTAAGACCCTGTGGACAATATCATATTTTATATTGAAAGTATGAATGTTTTCCTCCTTGAATCAAAAATAAGAAATAAAGTTCCTTTTTCACTGCCTCTTAACATTGTTCTGGAAACTCTGGACAGCACAATTAAGCAAGAAAAAAATTAAAAACCAAAATGTTAGGAAAGATTAAATAAAATCCTTTACATTTGTACATATTCTGACCTTACATATAGCAAATACAGAGGATGCTTTCCTTAAAATGCAACAAATTAATTAAGCATATCCACAAGTACAAATTCAACACAAAAGTCATTTATAGTCTTTACACACAAGCAACAAATAATCCCTAAATGAAATTAAATGAGTAACACTAACATCTACAGTCTAATACCTATTGAAATACAAATGTTCTTCATTCAAGATGCTAAAAAAATACTGATCAGAAATTCATATAAATTGCAAAGGATTCATACTAACAGCAAAACTTTAAAAGGAAAAGTTACATAGCTCACAATTTAAAAATTACTACAACTGCACAGTAAATAGAACTCTGGTGTTGGTATAACAATAAACAACAGAAACAAGAAAATAAAATCTGTATTTCATAAATAATCACACACAGAGAGATATATCTTTATATTTTGCAAATGGTATTTAATGGATTTTTCAGAATTAGTTAATAGTCCCTTTATTAAATGATGCTGAGACAATCATAGAGTCATATAGAAAGAATGAAATTTAATTTGAGCCCTGTTGTCTTTACTCTCCTCATTGCTATGACAAATACTGACAAAAGCAGCTTCAAGTGAAGAGGGATTTATTTTGGTTCATGGTTTCACGGAGTTTGGTCCACAGTCACATAGCTCCATGTGCTTGTCTAGAACATGATGGGGCAGGAGAATATGGTGGAGAAGGGCCTCATCCAGGAATGAAGCAGAGAAAATGAGAGGAGTGGTAAAAGATTTTCCCAAGACCTTGCCACTAGAGACCTCTTTCCTCAAACTAGATCCTATTTCCTAAAGTTTCTAGAGTTTCTTCCAAATAGCACTGCCAGATGGAAACCAAACATTCAAAGTGTGAGCTTATGAGGGATATTTCACAATTGAGTCTTGTTGTTGTTTATATTTGAGATTACATTTTTAATTAGGACATCTCTCTTTTCCCATTCCTATCTCCAAATCTTACCATATAGTCCTCCCCACTCTCCTTCAAATTCATAGTCTCTTTTTTCCTTGATAGTCACTGTGTGTATATAGGGTTTTGTGTCTACATATATATCCCCAAATACAATCTGCTGAGTTCATCATATAAAATTACTTTTTTGTATGTTTTCATGGCTGGCCATTTACCACATGGGCACCTGAAGGTCCACAACCATCTATCTCAAAGTAGAAAAATGCATTTATATTATCTCTAAGCATCTCCAAATATTTAATAGCATCAATATTGCTTGAAAATTAAAACTCAAAGTCTTTTCTGAAACTTAAGGCAGACAATTAGTTGAGAGCCACTTAAAAGTAAAAAACAAAACTACATATTTCCAAGATAGAATGACACAAATTAAGCCACAAGCTATGATTAAGCATTGAAAATACGAGCCTGTCATGAACATCTTCTGCTGAAGCCACAAGAGACTCTTAGCTCCTACTACACGTAAAGTTTTCCAAAAAACTGAATAATCTCTCTACAACCATGAAACACAAGAAAACAGACTTTTATCTCCATGACCTGAAATTTGGTGATAGTTTCAAGATAAGAATTATTTTAACAAAGGTCACTGAGCTCCAAATATGAGCACATTTAAGTCTAGACTGTCTTAGCTATTTCTACTGCTGTGATAAAATACTTTGACCAAAAGCAACTTAGGGAGTAATGGGTTTATTTTAGTTTACACATCTACATCAAAGTCTATTGTTGAGGGATGTTAGGGTAGGAACTCAAACAAGGCAGGAATCTGTAGGCAGAAGCTGATGTAGAGGTCATGAAGGAATACTGCTTACCAGCTTGCTCCCCCTGGCTTGCTCAGCCTGCTTCCATATAGCACTCAGGACCACCTGCTCAGAGATGGCATGGCTTACAGTGAGTTAGTCCCACCTACATCAACCATATAGTTGCTTCACAACAAATTTCTTACCTCCCACTAATTTCTCAAACTTGCTGGTCATTGGGTAGCAAAATGTTTAAGTATCACAAAATGGCTTTGACTAAAAGCATCATCTCAGAGTTGATAGCTACTTAGGTAGGTATACTATCTGGCTCCTCAGCAGCTAAGCACTTAAAAAATATAATTTCTCAGAGGTCCACATTAGTATTGCATAGAACACAGCGGAGAAAAGTTCTTAAACTATAGAACAATATGCTCTGTCAAAGTGAGAGAAGCTACAAGTGCAGGCAGTCACATTGCCATCACCTCCTAGTCCCAACTCACCTGCCATAACCAGGTCCCTTGGAGTATGATGAGACTTGCCCGCATTAGTTCCAGAGTTATATTATTCTTTATGAGGATCTCCATGAAGGAAACCAGACCTGCTGAAAAGGTGGCAAGAGCCAGTATCTTATGCAAAAAAACATCCATTGTGAATCGGCCATGAGTGTGGTTGTACATGATAAAAGCTAATAGAGGGAGGAAAACAGTTTGTCATTTTCAATGGAACCAAAAGCCATTCACAGTTTCTCCTGCTCTTCCTCTATCCATGACATTTATGAACAAATAGACAATTGCTCATAGGAACAAGTCCCAACTGATATCCATAGTTGTCATTGCTGCTTCTTAAAAATTAAGTGTTGGAATAATAACCTTCCTTTCCCCTCCTCTAAGATTTATTTTTGCCTTTAACACATCATGGAATCTTCAAATAACTATAAGACACAGACTTCTCTGTGAAAAATGATAAATAAAAAGCCTAATGAGGTTGGGGAATTAGGAATTGCACAATTATACAGATGAATGAGGCAAAGCCTCACATCAGGACATTAGTTCACTAGGAGATGTAAACACACACATAAATCACAACTATGGACAAGGCGACAGTATCTAGAAGTGCCCAAGAAGTTGTAAATATGTGCATTGTTTCATTCCATGAATAGATTCCAATTTTATTTAAATATTTTCCTTTAAAAAGGTAAAACACACTCATGAAATGTATAATGTAACACTTTGAGATAACAGAGTCCTGCTGTTGGCTGTTGGGACTCATCTTTAATGGGTTCTCATTCTCAAAGAGTAGCAGGAAGAGGTTCTTTCAACACATGTGGGAGGCAAGAGGAACAGACAGGAAGTGACTGTCCTCTGATTATTTGAGGGTTTCATGATTCCATAATGAATGTGCTTCATATATGTATGATAGATGAAGATAAATCATTAAACACTTGCTTCCTTTCCCCTACAATAAGATGAGAAACCACTGGACCAATGGACAAAATGTGTAGTTTATCATTGATCACTCAAAATTCATAACTCATCCTTTAAGATCTATCTTTAATGAAATATATGTGTGTCCACGGACTTTGGACTCCTATCCAACAATGTGAGGTGCACTCTCACCCTGAACTCTTGGGGAAGGGTCTGGGCCCTGCCCTATATGAGATGACAGACTATGGACACCCCCATGGAGGGCCTCACCCTCCCTAGGGAAATGAGGGGATAATGGGGGGGTTGGGGGGAGGATACGGGAGGAGGGGTGGGAAAGGGAGAGGGACCTGGAACTGACTTGTGAAGCAACCTTGTTTCTTATCTAAATTTAAACTGAAAAATAAAATATATATATATATGTGTGTGTGTCAAGGTGGGTGTGTACACGAGTGCATGTACCTGTAGAGTCTAGAAGAGGAGTTACAGGAAGTTGCCTGTTACCTGACTTGGTCCTAGGAATCAAGCACTGCTTCTCTGGAAGAGCAGCAAGTGCTCTGAACTGCTGACCTATCTCTATAGCCCCAAGAACCTCATTTTTTTAATATGGCTGGATATTCGAGTTGTTACTTAATACATACAAGCAGAGTTTTGCTCCATGATTATTTTATAAAGAGCCAGTAGATGATAGAAAATATCCTGATGTTAATGGATGAGGCTTTAAGGTAGAAGATGAAACATGAGTAAAATACACTGAATGGCTTTGCTGGCCTAAGTGTCCTAAATAAATTAGTAGGGAAGGAAAATCTTTAACATTCTGACTCCCAAATAACTCACAATGGCCCAGATAGAAATGGTCTCATCAATCAAGGCTATACCATGACACCAAAGGTAGCCTATAAAAAGCTACCTAGATGTCTAATAGTTGAGAAAAGCCCAGAAAAAAAATATTGATACTTACTCTGTACAAGGAAGGCATTTGACAATGCCAATTTAGTTAAGGAGGCTGGAAATGAATTAATGGTAGCGCTTAAGATTTTAGTCACACCCAGAATCCCATAGAAGGTATATATAATTGTGTGGTGCAAGCGCAGGACCCACATCAGCTGGCTTCCTGAGATAGCATATATTTGTAGGCTGATGGCACCTGTAAGAGAATACATCACAGTACAAGTAACTTCTCCTTAAGTTTCTAGTACACCCAAGGATATGCTAGTGAATGTAAAAATTTGTTGCCCTCTTATGAAATCATTTTGGTTAAGTACCCATCATAATTTAGTGAAATCTCAAAAGATTTGGTTGTTTAGATTTAAGAAATCAACCTGAGGGTAGATTCTTTCTTATTCTAGATATATATTACATCATTGACTTAAGGCCATTGTTCTTAATAAAATACTTCTAAACTTTCATCTTTCCATAATTAATAAATATAACCTAAAGTTAGTTACATAACCTAATAAATATAACCTAAATAACCCTAACCCTGAGATAACTGGTCAGACCTGATGGACACAACTGGTAGACTAGTCAGTTCCATAAACTGTTTAATGTTGTTAGGGATATTGCCTTATCTATTGCTCTTTAGAAACTGACAGAGAAATGCCTCTCTTTGGGAAAAGACTAGTCTATAGTTTGAAGGCCATACCAAAGACCTATTATCATTAATAGAGCATGAAAAATACTAATGGGAAAATAGGATATTTTTTCTTTTCTAATGGAGAAGCTGCAGAACTCCAAAAAGCATGTTTTTAGGGAATTCTTAAAGGTAGTGTAAAGGTTTAGTCCAAATGGTCTAGTCTAAACCACTTCTCAAATTCAGAAAATAAAGGAAGGAATGAATGCATGAAGCAAGGTCCTCCTTGGCTCCAATTCCTCTTCCAGACTTCTCAGCACTGATATGTTACTGAAGATTCCTACAGCCAGAGGAACTTTCAATATAACCAGGCTTTTTTCAGGGATCAGGACTATTGACATGAGGTTATTTCACTCATTCCATCTAATTTTATAAAGGAAAGTCTCCAATATGAGACAGGTAAATTAAATTCTATGACTAATTCATTAAGGAACGATCTTTGAGTAAACAATAGCAGTCACCTTCCTAATAAAGACTTCAGATTAAAATTATAATTATAATATATATGCGAGGGTATATTGAAAACAAAATTAGCTTTAGTACTTTATTTTCCATTAAATCTTCTTCATACACATGGAAATACACACACACACACACAGAAAGAGAGAAGAGAGAGAGGGAGCGAGGGAGGGAGGGAGGGAGGGAGAGAGAGAGAGAGAGAGAGAGAGAGAGAGAGAGAGAGAGAGAGAGAGAGAGGGAAGGAGAGAAAGAGAGAGAACTCTGAAGTTAAAAGCACTCACCAAATAAAACCATGCCAGTTAGTATAACTCCATCCAAAAGTTCTGCTCGATGGATCCACACTTTGGAATAAAGGTAAACCTGTTTTTGTTTTTTGCAGATGTACTTCAGAATATTCACTGAATTCCACCAAAGACTCAAAAAAATCAAGAAAGATCCTGGGAGGGCATGACCTTGGAAATCCCCTGGGATCTACAAAGATAAGAATACACAGGAGATAGGCACAGCATTTCTGGAATCTCCCATCTCCATACAGCAGACTATCTTCTTGTGGCCATGGATATACAGTAGATCTCACAATAATAGCAATAACACCTACAAGAATTAAATTTTCCAACCATTAAACACCATATATTAGGTACCATGTTGAGTATTTCACATGCCTAATTTTTGCAACATTAGCATGGATGAAGAAGGACTACCATTTTAAATTGAGGCACAGATTTAGAGAACTTAAATGAATTGTCAATCAAAACAATGAAGAATTTCCCTGTAGTTCTTTGTCTGGGGTAGGATCCCATGAGATTTTGCCCATACTCCCTTACTCCATCAGCATATCTCTTTGTTACTGTAATTGTTCAGGTCTTGTTATGCTTCCCTTTAGAAGAGAGGCAGTCACATAGCAAACACCCTGTTAGTCTGGTTCTTTTCACCCCCTTCTGCCAAGTTCCCTAAGCCATCGTTGCAAGAGTTGTGTTGTAGATGTATACACTGGAAGTAGGCACTCCACCATCCATTGGCCTGCATGTTTGTATTCAACTGCGGTTTTCTGTAACTGTCTTCATTTGCTGTAAAGAGAAGCTTCTTTGATGAGGGGTGGTATGTACAATTATCTATGGTTCTAAGGACAATTCAGAAAATGTTAAGGATGCTAATCAAGCAAAGTGGCAGCAGTAGATTGTATTCTAAGATCCACAACCTTCTATGTTTCTAGTACCAGGCACAATTTCTGTTCTGTTGAGTGGGCCTCAAATCCACTTAGACAGCTGTTGCTTACCACGACACGAGGGCCTCTATTGCACCTTTCTGGATATCTTGCCATGCTGGTCATTGTGGTTCATAGGTATTATAGTTGGGTAGAACTTTAATTAAGTCCCTCCTTTGGCAACTTGCAAAGTATTTTCCGACACTATGGAAACTAGACTGCAGGAAGACTTTCAGGTTAGTTACAGCTCGAATCATCCAAATCCTCTGTCCTAAGTGTATGATCTTAACCTCCGAGGGGCATCCAAGGGCAACAGCAATAGCCTATATTGTTCTCATGATTGGTACTGGTTTGTATGTGTGTGTGTATGTGTGTGTGTATTGCATACAGATACATTTGTATGCATCTGTATAATTTTAGGTAAATATAAAATATGATTCCTTGAGACTTTATCATCTTGGTTTTATTTGTCCATTCTCCCTCTGTTTTCTGTACTGGCCTCCCTTCTCCTCCCCAGTTTGGGCCTCAGGCTGTCTCTCCATTTACTGCTACACATCACCTATATCCTGCTATCCCCCTCTCAACAACACCCCCCACCATGGTCCCTTTACACTTTTCTGATTTCTGTAGTTACTTCATATTATATACTCACATCAGAAAATGTGGAGCTAGGAAGTGCAGATAAGAGAGAACATTCAATGTCTATCTTTCTGGGTCTGGGCACATCATCCAAAATAATATTTTCTAAGTATACCCATTATTCTACAAACTTCATGATTTTTTGTTTCTTTACAACTGAATACTATCCCATAATGTATATATAAACCATATTTTTATTATTCATCTCTTAAAGGACATCTACATTGTCTCCATTTCCTATCTAAGGTCAGCTATGAACACTGCTGAACAAGTATACATGGAGTAGATGCCTTTGTTTGTTTTGTTTTGTGATGCTCCATACTGATTTCCAGACTGGCTGCACCCAGTTTTCATTCTCACCAACAGAGATGAAGGTTGCTTTCCCCACAACTTCACCAGCATTCAGACTTGGGTGAGAAAAAATCTCGCTGTCATTTTATATATGTCACCAGTTGTTAAGGATGATAAAAAAATTGAGGTATTTCTTAGTCATTTTTATTCCTTTATTTGTTTAGATCTGAAGCCCATTTTTAATTGAGTAGTATATTCCTTTGGCCCTTTGTTGTTTCTTTTTAGTTTTTTTTTATATCCTGCATCTGAATCCTCAGACAGATGTCAGTTTGGCAAAGATTCTGTCCCATTTCTGTGAGTTTCTTCTTCACTCAACTGATTGTTTCCTGTGCAAAAGCTTTTTAGTTTCATGAAGTTCTGCTTGTCAATTATTGGCCTTAATTCCTGAGCAAATGAAGTCCTTTTCTTCTATCCTACATTTTCTTCTAGCATTTTTAGCATGTTTCAAATTAAGGTCTCTGATCTGCCTAGAAATAAATTTTGTGTAAGATGATAGATATGGAGTTTTCACAGAACCATTTGATGAAGTTGCTATATTTTCTCCAGTGTATGTATTGGTCAAATATCAGGTTACTGTAGATTCATGTTCTTATGTTTCGATCTTGTGCTTTATTCCACTAGTATGCATGTCTGTTTTTGTGTCAGTACAATGTTGTTTTCATTTTTATAGTTCTATAATATATATTGGAATCAGAAATGTCAATCTCTCCAGTAGTATTATTCTTTTTTCCTTAGGATTGTTATGTCTACTGGGGTATTTCTAATTTCATATTAATTATAGGATGTTTTTTCTGTTTCTATGAAAAATGTTGTTGGTGTTTGGATTGGGATTGTAATAAATCTATAAATTGATTTTAGTAGAATGGTCATTTTCACCATATTAATTCTATCAATGCATGAACATGGTATGTCTTGAATTTTCTATAATCCTACCTCTAACCATTCAGCAATCTCTCCAGCCTGATTTTTCTATTTCTATTTTTTTGAACAATTTAAAAGTTTTGGCTTTAAAGCCGGGCAGTGGTGGTGCATACCTTTAATCCCAGCACTCGGGAGGCAGCGGCAGGCAGATCTCTGTGAGTTCGAGGCCAGGCTGGACCGACAACCTCCAAAACAATACAGAGAAACCCTATCTCATAAAACCAAAAAAAAGTTTTGGCTTTAACTCTTCTTTGAATGTCTGGTAAGAATTCTGCTATCAATCCGTCTGGTCCTGAGCTTATTTTAGTAGGAAGGCTTTTAATTACTGTTTCAACCTTCTCCCTTGCTATGGGTCAATTTGGGATCTTGGTTTAACTTTAGTAGTTTTAATAGCTCAAGAAATTAACCCACCTCTTTTAGATTTTTCAATGTACCACAGTACAGGTCTTCAGAGTATTCCCTTGTAATATTCCGAATATTCTGAGTTCTGTTATCTGTTATATTACACTGTTCATTTCTGATTCTGTTATTTTGAGTCCTCTATTTTTTGTTTAGTTAATTGAGTCAAGAGTCTGTCAGTCTTTTTTATCTTCTCAAGGAACCAGCTATTAGATTCATTGACTCTATATATTGGTTTCTTTGTTTCTATTTCAGCATTTCTGTTTTATTTTTGTTATTTCTTCCTGTCCACTGACTTGGATTTGGTTTGCTCTTGATTTTTCAAATTCTTGAGTTGAGTCAAGAATTTATTATTTATTTGTGCTCTTTGTGATTTTTTAAAAATGTAGGCATTTATGTGTATAAACTTCCCTCTTTGAACTGTTTTTAGTAAGTCATAGAGGTTTTGTGTTGTGTTTTTATTTTCACTTAGTTCCAAGAATACTTTCTTTGTGATTTCATCTTTAAACCATTCACCAGTCAGTGGTGAGTTGTTTAATCTTCATGGGCTTATAGACTTACTACAGTTTTGTTTGCTATTGATGTCAAGTTTTATTATGTAATGGTCCAATTGGATACCTGGGACTATTTCAATTTTTCTGTATTTCTTTAAAGTTTGCTTTGTGTCCTAGCATGTTGTCTATTTTTAGAAAAGTTTCCATGGGCTTCTGAGTAGACTATATATTCCTTGGTGCTTTGTGTGGAATATTCTGTAGATATCTGGTAGGTCTCTTTGGTTTAAGGTGTCATTTAACTGTGAAGCTTCTCTGTCAGTTTTTTTTTTTGAGGATCTATCCGTTATAGAAAAAGAGATGTTGAAATCACCTACTAATATTGGGTAAGTTTTCATCTGTGTCTTTAGCCTATTACTATTCTTTTTAAGAAACTGAGTGAACCAGAGTTTGGTACATATATGTTTGGTATTGTAATTGACCCCTTGATTATAATGAAGTGCCCTTCTTTGTATATTCTGAGGAGTTTTAACTTGAAGTATATTTTATCAGATATTAGGATGGCAAAGCCAGCTTGCTTCCTGATCCCAATTGCGATGTGTACATTTTCCATCCTTTCATTTTAAGGTGCCTATCTTTAAAGCTAAAATGAGTTCTTGTAGACAAGAGAGATGAATTTTATTTCTTAATTCATTTGGGTAGCATATATCTTTTAATTTGAAAATTGAGGCAATCAATACTTAAAGAGATATAGTTTTAAAAGAGCTTAGTCCAGTCTACCCAATGAGCACCAATTCAAATCATGTAAATATTACTTATTTTATTCCTACATGGTGGAGTCAACTCTTACTTATAAACAGAATTTTGGTTCTCCAATTTTGGTCAGTGGTACAGAAAACCAGTCTTCAATTATATGAGTTTTTAAATATGTGAACAGCTCTTTGTTTAAATATTTCATTAACAGAGTAATAGAAAGACTTCCAGAGTCATTCCTGAGGGTCTATTATTAGAACAAACTGAAGAAAACTCATGAAAGAGATGTCTAGATATCCTTCTAGCCTGATAGACTTCCTTCTCTCCCTGAGTAATTTCTGGGCCTCTCATTGGCATCTTTCTAGGCAAACCCATCTGATAGTCTAGAATACTGATATTCAAAATAAGATGATCATTCTGGTATTTCATATAAAAAATTGCGGCCCTATTGAAAAAAACAGTTTATGTTCTACTACAGACCTATCAGCTCTAAGTCCTTATTTGAACCAAATCAACAGATGGTTCCTATCACAATGAAGTGTAAGAAGCAATAGTATAAGACAGAATTCCTCAGGAGTGCTACTATTGACATTTGGACCAGATAATTCTTTGGTGAGGTTGCATGAGGTGCTTACTGCCCAGAGCATAGAAGTTTGTTATCAGCATTGATATCTACCTGCCAGACACTGGGAGCATGTAACCATCCTCTCCTC